TATATATATATATATATATATATATATGAGTAACGCGGACCCTTTATTGAAAGTCAAAAAATAAGTTGTGTGTGTTGCATTATGGATGTGTCAAATGAATAACTTTAGTGGGGTCTCATTTTCAGATTTGCTTAGGGGCTGGGACATTATTTTGCACTGAGCACGGTTTTGTTTTGTCCTTTTAGGCCCTTGGTTTGATTCTTGTTTTGTAATTTTGTTTTGAGCAGGACATTATTCTCACTTTACGCAACACACAGAACGTATCCCCAACTGAAAAAGACTGATCACAGAACAACATAGTGGAACAGAATAACAATACCTCATTAGCATCTTTGAAATAACTGTACTCATCTTTCTTTGGCCAACTTACTCGCCAACACCTGACAGCCAACCAAATAAAATAAAGGACTTGGACAAAGCAATTGGTAGGGACATAGAACTGCTCTACTTTTATTCAAGGAAGCAATATAATTTAGATTCACAGCTTCTAAGCCTCAATATTCAATCAATTATCCTCAGAAAAAGACAGCAAGATAAAAGCAGTGTACAAACAATCACCACCATGATCTGGAAATGTGTAATGTGTTCCGCAATAAATTATAAAGCAAAGGTGAACTACAATATCAAGACACACCAAAACTACAATGTCTATAGCAAATGAAAAGAACACGCATAGTGGAAGAATTTTTCAACAAAAACATTAAAACTTGACACATTATCGTAACCTTTCTTTTCCAAGACGGCGTGCGAGCTCTTCCGCCAAAGCTTGACCTGGAGTGTCACCATCAGTTGCAAGGACTATTCTAGACGCCTAAAATGTATTACGCATACAGAACAAAGAAGAAAAGTTACGCCAGAAATAAAGAAAATTATAAAAAGGCTAAGTCCTGCTTTAGTTGGTTGGCAACAATCCACGTACCTTATCCAAGTACTGTTTGCAATTCCAGAGGTACCGAAATGCTGTGTCCTAACTTCACATAACATGCATACAAAGAAGGTAAAAGCAACTTTAGAGATCATGAGACGATCAAAATTCTAAAATCTTGTACTCAAGACAATGCTAACAATTACCATGGCAGACAAAGTAAAGCAGGTACGAGACAATGGACATTACCGACTTGTGCTACAGGTAGTAAAGGAAAAATTTTCGTAGAGGTGCCATTTGTTACAATGAATTACTTTCTAGATAAATTATCTAGCACACAGCAACCACAGAAAGCTCAATTGCATAAGGTTCTCTGTCCTTTTTTCCCTTAATCCTTTTCAAGAATACAAGAACTTATAATTATTTGCACTTCTCAACTCAACAGCAAAGAACTTGAGAACTATGGAGTTTGAAGTTTCTTAAAACATTAAGCAAAAGCAAATGGAGAATAAATGTTATAACACTTGCTATATATCATATATTCTGTCACAGTTGGAAAAAATAAGATCATATAGATCAATAGTGGATCATACTGTCTGTTCAAAAAAAAAAAAAAAACCACTATTCAGAAGAATTGGAGAGAAGTAGCTAAAATTCTTCGCGCCATCAACATTAAAGCCAACTCTTATTTATTCTGAAAGAACTATCAAATGGATGTTCATTGAGCATACTCAATATTCGACAATATTGCAGGCCTATACCAACACGTGGAAAACAACAGTTACAATGCTTATGATTCTGAAATTAGATGGTGATGAACGGACTAACAATAAATATTTACTTACCTACCCTGAACTTGTGAGTATACTTGGCTTTAGCATGTAAAATATATCAAACCCTTTAATTGCAAAAAGGAAAAACCTTTTGCCCAATTCATGACAGATGTATAAATATATACACTTACAACATTCAGGGTCTAACTCAAACGAAAGCTGTATTCTTAGTTTTCATCTTAACCTTTTCAAAAGATGGTAATTTATCAGAAACCTTCCCGGGCGCACCACCAGGAACACTCACACAATTTCGAAGTCCAGCTTCCTCCACTGAAAGCTTATCTAATTCGCCCTCAACCTATACATAGCATCAAAGTGTTAAGAATCGGATAGGACAAGAGAGTCTAACTCCCAAACAGAGAGAGAAAGAGAGCCAACAACAGAGAAAAAAAAAAGAAAGAAATAAAGAATGAATGAGGTGACGTAGTAGTTACAATGATTATTTCATCTGTATCAATAATGTCATGCAGTCCATACAGTACTTTTTCTGTATCCTTCTCCTGAAAAAAAAGGATGAAAGAAATTGAAACAAAATTAATGTACACACCGACAGATGAAGTAGAATTGCAAATTCCACATCCTACCGAAAAGATCAAGCTCATAAATAAGACATATCCACTTCGATCAATTTCATGCCATGCTTTCATAAATGTTCATTTATGCATATATAAAACCAATGAAATGCCTTCCGATATAAAATAGCCCTGCTTCTCCAACGAACCAACCAAAAGGTTTACTTAGGGTAAGTATTCAAGTAGCATTTGGCATATGGAACACGATATTATCACATGATAGTTCTACATTACAAAAAAAAAAGGCATGTTTAAACGGCATAACATGTTGAAAATAACAAGGATGCAACAACTCTCATCACCATTTGTTGGATGTTCCTAGCTTGAAACTCAATTAGGAAGGAGTCAGATACCTGCCAAAATCTTTTTTCCAAAGTTCGATACTTGCAACTGACAAGCAGTCCATTTTTTCTGTAAGTAAACGCAATGATAAGCTGCAAAAATTAATCTATTTAGAATTGATCAAACTCGCATTCGGTAATTGTAAGCTAAAGGAATATCTATGAAAAGAAGAAACTCAATAACTAAGACATGAACCTGTGGTTTTCTGATATTAACTAGACGAAAAGGAAATTTAAAAGGAAAGAAGATGATAACGCGACACCGTAATAAAGTATGCCATAGAAGTATATTTTGACCCAACTGTGATGAATAATGTTTTCATTAATGTCCTATTTTGTATAAAGGTTTTTATACAAAATTTTATACCGGAGAACTAACCGGCCACGCGGAAAACCATAATTGTTTTAGCAGTAAAGCCTAATAGTCTAATCTAACCTTCCTTACTTTTAGATTGCAGAAAAAGAACATTTTATATTCCATTATTTATGTGAGTACCTTGTTTTCCTAGGACTTAATGTGCTTCTTTGAGGGTATGATTCCATCTATGCTTACAACTCATTCCATAAGGATTCACTTATTCTTGTAGCATTATCTACAACAACACTAAACCCACTTAAAAAAATAATAATAAAAACAAAAAGAATATAATTCTAAACTTGTAGCCTTCAAGTCTAACTCCGGAAGCTAAGAAGTGCCCACTACTTGGTAATAAATTCAGAAATCAATGGAAGTGAAGGTACCTTATTACCAGAAAGTTGCATAACACTATTTCTATGCAGAGTTTCCTCCGAGATCATTCGCTCATTGAAGTATGCAATAAGCTAACAAGGAAAAAGAGTAATGCTTATTTTAGTAAATATTGTTGCCTAGAATCTCTAAATGAAATTTAAAGAGTTTTTTAGTTTCATGATTAAACCAATGAAATTTCACAAAGCTTCAGCAAGACTTGCACATGTGATAGCAAAGGACATAATGCTTAACAAAGAACAAAGCTGTAGTTGAAGCAACATGAAGAATGGGTAGTTAGAAAGTTCAATCCAAATACCTCCTCACCAAGTGGTACTAAACCAAGGCTCTCCTCTGTCAATTCTCTAGTGGACTTGAATTTTCTTTTGGTTCCGTCATCTTTTGCCCGGTCTTCTGCAAATACCTAAAACTGCAAGCCATCAATTGGCTGAGGAATCCAAACTTCCTATAATTTATTAAACATTTTTTAGCATAAATAGAAAACAAAATCACAGAGTCACAATTATGTTACCCGGCCAGCCCATCCGCAATCAAATCGAAAACATCTCCACATTGCAAAATCCCTACGAAATCCAAATCACCCAAAAAAAAAAAAAAAAAAAAAAAAAAAAAAATTTGTTACAACCTAGCATCTGTCTCAATAGAAAATATAAAGCAAATAATAGCAGTTTACCCATTTTGGACAATGTGAAAAGATAAACTTCTCTCCATTGATTTGCCACCTTTGCACTACATCATTACAAAAACAAAGACTAGATAATACCCACTTAATATATTGTGATAAAGAACGGGAATAATCACTGGTTTTCTCTTTTTCTTTTCATAACCAAGAGAGTGAGTACCTTTGGACATGAAAGGTTATAGTAACGTCCGGGCATAGAAGAATCATATATAATCCCAAGAATCTCCACTTTCTGCTTCAAAACATTTACTTTAGCAACATTAACTGTACTACGCTCATCGACTTGTTCCAGTTTAGCTGACAAAAAAACAAAACAAAACAAAGAACAAATGACTAACTTAGAATACAATTAATTTTAGTATCCGAAATGTTAGGAAGAGCAAAAAGTGAACCTGGGACTTTGGTTGAACTTTGAAGGTTGTTGGATTGTGAAGAAGAAAAACAACAAAGGTTGCTTAATTTCCTCCTCGGGAAAAGGATTGCTGTATTGGTTGGATGACAGAGACTCTGAATTGCTGAGTTTATTCTCATCTCTTTTGTTTCCGTTTTGTTTGGGAAAATTGTTTAAGATTATCTCATTCCTTCCAACAAACTCTTGTTTGCCCTGCTTCTCTTCTTCTTCTTATTCTAGGATAAATTTTATTTTTACCCCCAAACTATAATCACTCTTTCATTTTATCCCCTAAACTTAAAAAAAATAGTCTATTCACCTCTCAAACTTTAAAATGTTAACAAAAATTTTTCTTCTATTATACTCCGTTAATTTAGTGCCACAAACTAACAGAGTGTAACAACAAGGAAATTTTTGCTAACATTTTAAAGTTTGAGGGCTGAATAGACCACTTTATAGATTCAGGGGGCAAACTAAAAGAGTGACTATAGTTTGGGATGTAAAAATAAATTTATCCATTATTTGTTTATTTGTTTTTAATTTTCGTTGGAAGGATTATCAATCAGCTGTGAGTGAGTAGGACTTCTAAGGACACAAGTAGTTATAAAAATATAAAATAATGATAAATAAAAAAACCCCTTACCACATGTACACCCCATTCTGAGTTATCCTAAAAATTATTCAGTGCGTTTGGAACTCGTCTTGAAAATGTTTTTCACATTTTTTAAGGAGAAAAAAAATGAAAATAGTGTGAAGATTGCGTTTGGGGTAGCACCATACAGAAACTAAAAATGAAAACATTTTTGTCTTTATCCCAAAAAGTGAGACGTTTCTGAAAACGCGCTGAAGTCGTTTTTTTTTCCCATTTTTATTTTCTCCGGTCTTTAGGCTAATATGTGTGTATGGTAATTGGTATCCTAATTGTTTACTATTTATGTATGTCAAGACAACTGATAAGTAGTAAGTATAATTACATATAGCAGATATGTATATATTAAATTAATTACTAGTGTATTGATTGGGGAGTTTATTAATTATTTAATATATTATTTAAAATACTATTACATGTTTTCAAAAATGTAAAACCAAACGGAATTCAGTTTTTTTCTTATACTAAAAACAATCTCTGAATAAAATTATCAAACGCATTTTCAGAAATGATTCCTGCCTGAGATTGAAAATGTTTTCATTTCCATTTTCATACAGAAAACAAAATCATTTTGTAACGCATTCCAAACGCGCCCATTGTGTCCTGCCTTTTTTTTTTAAGAGAAAATGAGATAATAGATTCTAACATGAAAGATCACCATGTGATTTTTCAGTTTGCTTTTTTCCTTCAAGATTCTTGTTTTTTTTTAATTCAATTCACTTTTCTTATAAACGAATAGTTTTTTATTATTTTTTAGGGAAATAGTAGAAAATAGGCCAATATGAAAAGTTTAAGAAAGTATATAGGTCAATTTTTAGTTATAGAAATTAATAGGCCATAACTTGTCAAGTTATGGTTCATAACCAGATAAGTTATGGACAAACTTGTCAAGTTATGGTTCATAGCCAGACAAGTTATGGACAATTATGGACAATTATGAACAATAACTTGTCAAGTTATGGTTCATAACCAGATAAGTTATGGACGAAAACAGTAATTTAGCCTATTTATTAACTTATGTAAACTATTGGCCTATTAATTTTAATTCTCTCAAATCTTTGCCTATTTTCCTCTTTTTCCCTATTTTTTATAAGCGCATACACAAGTTTAGATTCTTCGTCAGCATATAAATCCAATATTTCCGAAAGATGTATACATAAACCCTAAATCGTTTATATGCTGGTTTTAGGGAGAAAAAAATTATTGTTTATATGATCTTGGTACAATTCTTATTATATGCTTTGTCACTAATCACTATGTTGAACTTGTTCTCTTTTCGGCTAATGAATCACTTGTTTGAACAGATAGATTTTGCTATATATATCCTTTGGATGTTTGTAATAGCAAGAAAAAATGGAAATTTTTGAAAGACATGTCAAATTATTCATTTACAAAGTAAGTGAAAAAAGTAATTGCTTCAATGGCGCTCCATAATTACATTAGGAAGCATGATAAGTGTGATCGACATTTTCAAAGGGTTGAGAATAATCCATATATTTTTATTTATGAAGAGAATCAACCAGATGACAATAATGTAGAAGAGAATCAAGTTTTACTATCACTGAAAATGGATAAAGTACGAGATCAAGTTGTGACAAGTTTAATGAACACAACTTAATTCTTTTCATGGCTCTAACAGTTTTTGAACATGGAATATACATTTTTGTTGTATATGTTGATTACTCACTAATGCTCTTTTTAGTTGTAACTATATTGTGAATGAAGAAATGAAAAAAATAATTAATTATTACTAAATTTACTGTTAGAAAACTCAGAATCATAGCATTATTTTTTTTAAGCTCAACAAGTATTTCTAAATACCAAAAATAAATATATATATTTAAGTTTCATACAAATGTTTATTTTTGTCATTTTACGTACCAACGGCAATTCAGCCTCAAAATTTACCAAACGCTATTACACTGATTTTGAAACCAGCACAGCTAGTGTAATTATATTTTACCAAACACTCAGCTGTTTCTTATAACAGCTACTTCTTCTTTCAGCACAGCTAAAAGTAATTTTTTAAAAATTCACAATAATACCAAACTAAGCTATATTCTACGGTCAGACATAAGCAAGTTGACTTTGGTACACGGTATATATACCCACAATTTCCGGGTCAGACAAAAGCAAGTTGCAGTGTCGCAAATTTGAAAGTCAACTCATATGCACATTTAATACACGGGGACACTAGCTAGGGGTGCTACGACTCGTTGACTTTGGTACGTTACAACTTACAAGGAATTGCCTCCTAAAGTCAACGATCAGAAGTCAAATTGGCCCTGGTTTTGGACTACGAAAGCTTGTTTCTTAGAAATCGCCTATATATAGATAGTTCCAGACAAATACTTGGTTTAATTTTAATAGAATTAATACATCCAATACAATTCCAAATTAGAAGATGGCAAGATCAGCAGCTTCACGCACTGCGAATCTTGTATTAAGGGTCTTCACCATTGTTCTCCTACTGATTTCGCTTATTGTAATTTGCTCCAACACAAAGACCGACGAGTATACTGGAGGGAGGATCAAATTTCAGGATGTTATTGCTTATCGGTATGCTTTCCAAATCATGTCTTTCTATTAGCTTATTAATCAATAAAGTGCATATTAATCGCTAGCGCTAATTAGAAACAACCGATGTATAGATTTTTTTTTGGTTAGTAAATGACGAGAAATAACAATTAGTATTAAAGACAACTAGTACATTCTAATTATAAGTTGACACCTGCTGAAAACCTCTCCCACGTACATTGTATTCCCCAACTCAATTTTATTAAATGACAGAAACTTAGGAGACGTTTAGTTCATGGATTAAAATCATGAGATTAGAACTATTTTCGATTTACGTGTATTTTTTGTGAGAAAAAACACTGTAACGAACTATAAACCATAATTCAAATCAGGGTACGAATCCCCCAACCAAACAACCTCTTAGTAAAATCAACAACCTCTTATATATGCATTTTCTCTAAGTGACAGCAAAATTTCAAAGAAAAAAACAAAAGCGGTGCTTTTTTATTGGGTACATGTTTTTCCAACAAAAATAACACACTATTTCTGTCATTTCTGCCAATTTCTTTTATTTAAAAAATTAATTCACCATTTTTTTATTAGTTTGATGAACATATGCCAAAAGGAACTTTTTTGTAAATTTTTTTTTTTTTTTCAGAATAAAATGACAAGAAAGACTAACTAGCATTAAGGAGAATTACATATTCGCACACTAAGTCCAACAATCAAATTTTTATTAAAAGAAAATAATAAGCAAAAGGTGCGTTATCTAATTATCTTGTACATTTTAAATGATAAAATTATTTAAGCGCAGATACATGCTTTCTGCAATCGTCATTGGCACAGCATATGCTCTCCTGCAACTTGCATTCGCAATCTACAACGCCGTTAGTAACGGAGAAGGCAACCATCTCTTTGACTTCTATGGTGACAAGGTATACATTATATAGCTAATAATATAACTTTTATATATATGAATTATTAAGCTAATTATAAACTTTATATATGAATTATTATTAATACACAAAAACTGATCATTTAGAACTTCTACGGTGGGGCATGTTTTTTTAATTACCAATTAATTGCATTAAGTTTTCAACGAGTTAATCTGTGATTACATAAAAAAATGTTTGGGCATTGCAGATTGCGTCGTATCTGTTAGCCACCGGTGCAGCTGCAGGATTTGGTGTTACAAACGATATGAAAACGCTCATTGAATTGTTGTCAACGTACGACTTTGGAAACTTCTATGAAAAAGCCTATGCCTCGGCCAGTCTCCTTTTTCTGGCATTTGTTTGCACTGCATATATATATATATATACGTGTGTGTGTGTTTATTTTCCTTTTCTTAACTTTTGTCAAAAAAGAAAAACTTAAAAGTTGATGGTTTTATGTGTACTCGTGTAAAGAAAGCTTGCGTACGTGTTCTTACTTCTTGTTTTCGGCTTCGGTTTGTTTTTTGTTTATTTCTAAGGGAAGTTTGACTAGTAAATATTGCGGATTCTCTTCTTGGATGTAAAATTTGCAATTCTATATACACTTCTCGGTTCAATTGTTATGTTTTATGAACCCGTTTGGTTCATGGATTAGAACTATGAGATAATATATATTTTCAATTTATGTATATTTTTTATGAGAGAAAATACTGTAACGAACCATGAAGCATGATTCGAATCAGAGAATAAATTCTCCAACCAAACATGCTCTTATTTATTGAGTTTTTGCAGCGAAGGCTCTTTAAAAAAAAAAAAAAAAAAGAAAAAAAAGGAAAACAACGCTAAAGATTGTCTAATGTTCTTATCCACTACTGCGCTTTTTTTTTTTTCCTTTTTTTTAAGCTGAATATGGAAATTCAAACTCTCCACGGTGTCAGACATCAATTTATCACTAAAGTATACCTACAACAATTATTAATATAAGATTCTAACACTAAAATATAAAGAAAGGACATATATATATATGATTCTTATTACAAATCGTTTATAAAATATTCCTATTACAATTCTTAGTACAATCCTTGTCATGGTTCTTATATATGATCTTAGCCACGTATATTTCAATTTTTGAGATGAAGAAATGCGAGAACAGAGAAACAAGGTGAAAAATGCATTTCTTTTTTGGGAGAAAAAAGAAAATAGGTCAAGACTTGAGATGAATTAAAATTAATAGGCCAATAGTTTACATAAGTTAATAAATAGGCAAAATTACTGTTTACGTCCATAACTTGTCTGGTTATGAACCATAACTTGACAAGTTATTGTCCATAACTTGTCTGGCTATGAACCATAACTTGACAAGTTTGTCCATAACTTATCTGGTTATGAACTATAACATGACAAGTTATGGCCTATTAATTTCTATAACTAAAAATTAGTCTATATACTTTCTTAAGCTTTTCATATTGGCCTATTTTCTACTATTTCCCATCTTTTTTTTCCCAAAAACGAGGGTTGGTGTGTTGAAAAAAAAAATACAATTTAATAGTAGGGAGTTTTTTGAAATAATAAGAAAGGAGTTACGTGTAATAATTAAAATTTTAAATTTGATTTATGGGTGGTTTAAGAAAGGATACGTGAGGATAGTAGAATGAGGTGGCAATAAACTCAACTCTTTTATAGATTGTTTACCAAATACCTAAAATTGTGCTTCTAGTATTCCATGTAGCTTTGAAAAAATATTACCAAATGCTTACCTGATTTTGGTTATTGTAACTTGTAACTAACAATACACTTACAACTAATGTTTTCAACAACACAATCAAAGATGCTCGTATTTATTTTTATCATAATTATTAAATTTCAAATTTGTAAATGTAAATTTTTAATTAAATGGTTAAAAAATAATTGTAATGCTTTTATAGCCTATAACTCAATTTATTATCCATACTCATTAGGTTTTATTTTGGGTGAATTACCCATTAGTTAATAATAATTTTTACAAAAAAAAAAAAAAAAGAATGATCAGTAATTTTACTTAGCTCTAGTTGCCACTTTCTTAAAAAATATATATATCTATTTTTTTTCTTTTTCTTCTTTTTTTTTTTTATACAAAACAGGATTAAATCTGCAACCCAATGTCACGAGGTTTTAGTTTTTTTTTTTTTTTGGTTAGTGAGATTTTTTTTTCTTTTGTAAAGTACATGTATTATAAACACGAGATCATATGGAGAATAAAAAAATTAAAATCAAATTAGCATAAAAGTTCCCTTAAAAAAAAGTTAACATAAAATCCATAAAAAAAAAAGTTAACACAAAAGTTTTAAAAGGAAAATTTTAACGAAGGAAAATGGATACTTTATGTATTAAAAAAAAAAAAAAAAAAAAAAAAAAACATAAAAGCTAATAAAAAGAAAAACAAAGGATAAAAAAAGGGCTAATTAACACTACAAGAAAAAAAGGTCATTTGTGGCGACTCAATGTCGTCGCAAATAGGTGATATGTCGTCGCAAATACTGCATTTTTGACGACATGTCGTCGCAAATTAGTTGCTGCCAAAAATTAGACGTAAATGATATATTTGCAACGATAAAATTTTGATATGTAGTCGCAAATATATTTGCGACGACAATCGTCGTAAATAAATCGTCATGAATGTTCGTCGAATATGTCGTTGATGATGACGTGTCAGAGAGTATTTGTGACGACAATGTAGAAATACGTCGTCGCTAGTAATGTGTACTATTTGCACGACACCGTAGAAATGTCGTCGCAAATAGTATTTTTTTTTTTTTTTTTACTTTCTTAATAATATTAATTAGTAAAGATAAGAATTTGAAAAAAATTTATAATAATATAATTGATATAAAAAGTAGGAAAACTTTTCAGCACCACAAAAGGAAATTGTGCGAGAAACAACAAATTCCATTCACACATAAAAAATGTCTCACTTTCCATTTCTGCCCATACAATTTCCATTCAGTACTAAAAGAAATAATACCTCTACCACCCACATCAAAACAAATTAATGAAACAGAACACCTAGCATTTACACTAGTGACTGTTTATGAATACTCATGGATATTTGCGGAATACTCATGGATATTTGATATATGATTCATCAATTTGTTCTTTGTCTTCCAGATGTGATGAAGTGTGATCACCGGACTGGACAGTTGAGGCATCTGCATAAGAGACATGAGAACTTTGATCCATAGCTGCAAGTAAAGAAGATCCGGATATGCGATACCTAAAAATGAAGATTGTGAATATGAAAGGTAACTTGGCGTCGACATCAGCGGAAATCCATAACACAAGGGACTAGCATTTACCTATGCATTTTGTTTTTCGTTTTTCCTCTGTTTTTTATCCCATACCAGGTAAGTAACACCAACACAAAAAATCTAGATGATAACATAATATGATAAAATCCATACTGAAAAAGTTACTCGTTCAGTCATTCTTTTGAACTTGTATAAAATTAAGCGTAAATTGCAATTCAAAAAGTTTAAGAATAAAGGTCAGTTAAGACTTAAGTGACAATTCACATACTATAGAAAACTAGGAAAGTAAGAACGAAATGTGGAAACTTACTTTTACGGGATAATATAGACTCCCACAAACGAGTAGTTTTTGATACTAAATGAGAATTCTGACTTGAACTAGAAACAAGGTTGTAGGAAATCTCGGATGAGATATTATAGGAGGTTTTTTAGGATACTTTTAGTTGAGGAAATCAGGGGTGATAACCAAGTCCTAAAGTTTAGGAGATTGGCTGATCAGCTCCTAATCCTTTCCTGATTTTATGTAACAGAAAGTGTATATATATAGAGAAGAATAGCGTGTAATACACACAGAAATTAATAAAAAAGTTGTTCAGTTTTCTTCAAAGGTCATCCCAATGTTCTCCTTCCACCTTCACTTTGTTTCTCAAATCATGTAATTTTTCAAGCTCCTGCTGCAAATAAGCCTAAGATCCAAGTTTCCAAAGAAAATAAGAATAAAACTTGTTTCATTCCCTGAGAAGCATATAATAGAAATAAGCTCATATGAATATGAAAGAACACCGTCCTTACCTCTTCAGCACAAAGACCTTGAAACTCTGCAGTCATTTCATGACCCAAATTTGACCACATAGCCTGCTGTTGTACTGCTGTTTCTGCATTCTTAAGAAACCTCCTTCGTTCAAGAGCAATTCTAGCCTGTTTGAAGGGGAAAAAAAGGCTCATATCGGTGAATAAGATCAAGTGAAGTATTTCAAAAGAGAATCTATGTTAATCCCTTTTCTCAACATCATTCTAAACAACTGCAATGCCTCCAATACTCAATCCGTCTGTGCTAACCCACTCATCAGAGCTGTGAAAGCGACCTCATTAGGCTCAGACATGTCATCAAAAACTTGAACTGCATCACTAATAAGCTCACACTTAGCATACATAGACAGTAGGGCATTACTTGCATATTTATTATTCTCAAGACCATGACATTTCCGACCACGCTCGACATCTAGCAGTGCTCCATACACACTAAGCACACTCGCCAATGTGAAACGGGTAGGCATAAATCCTTCAAAAATCATGCTATCATAAACGTCCAATGCATCTCGTTCGGACGCATTTCAGACCAAAGCACTAATCACATTATTCCACGACACGATATTCCTGTCTGGCATTTTTACAAACAGTTGATGAGCTTCTTGCAAATTTCCGGCTTTGCAATGATCACCCAGAATGGCATTCCAAGAAAACACATCTTTCTTAGGAAGTTTATAAAACATTTGGTGAGCATAAGCAATGTTACTGCACTTGGATTGTGAAGAATCATATATAATCCCAAAAATCTCCACTTTCTGCTTCAAAACATTTACTTTAGCAACATTAACTGTACTACCCTCATCGACTTGTTCCAGTTTAGCTGACAAACAAAACAACAAAACAAAACAAAGAACAAATCACTAACTTAGAAAACAATTAATTTTAGTATCCGAAATGTTAGGAAGAGAAAAAAAGTGAACCTGGGACTTTGTTTGAACTTTGAAGGTTGTTGGATTGTGAAGAAGAGAAACAACAAAGGTTGCTGTGCTGGTTATATGACATGTGCCTAATAAACGGTTAGGCCTTCCTACAATTTCGAACTGCCCACGTTCCCCACCTCCCCAAGATTTTCTCTCCCAATCTTATCTTCTCTTTCTGTTCTTTATAAATATCTCCAATCTCTCTGGGTTATAACCGTTTCTTCCTCAGATCTCTTAGCTAAATCAATACTCTTTCCCCTTTTTTTTTCACTCTACTCCTTCAGCTCCCAAATATGGCTCTAAGCTTCCTTTCCAACTTATGGAATTCTTCTGCTTCTCCTCAACAAAAACAAAACCCAGATATTGTCGGTTTCCAACAAAGAAAAAAGCCTAGATTTAGCAACTTGTCGTTCTCAAACACATATAGTAATCCTTGTCCACTCATCATCCAAAACGACGACAATAATTCCTTCTTCTCACACCACAATAACGTCTACACTAGTACAAGTACTAATTATTCCCATTTCCTTCCCACATCAAGTAACAATAACAACGCTTTCTTCAACTCTCTCTCGTCACCACAAACCCTATTTCCTCTGGAAGAGCTTGAGTACAATCCCTACCCGTATAGCAGTCGCGTTTCCGATCAATTTTTCGACGGGTTTTCGGCGAGCCCTGATTTGTTTCCGGAGCTTTTGACCGATGAAGATCGAATACTGCTGGCTCCATTGCTTAGGGAGCCTCAGGTTATTTGTGATTTTCCAGTGCAACAAGATAATGATGTTGTGTATGATTGTGGAAATAGTTATGATGATGCTCATCATCAGGAGATCAATACTACTGAATTGAAGAAGGGTAGCAGTGGTGGTAGCAGTAGTACTGCGGTGTCGCCGCAGAGCGTCGCGGCCCGAGAAAGGAGGAGGAAGATAACGGAGAAGACACAGGAGCTAGGAAAGCTGGTTCCTGGTGGGAATAAGATGAGCACTGCTGAGATGTTTCAAGCTGCTTATAAGTATATCAAGTTTTTGCAGGCTCAAGTCTCGGTTCTTCAATCCATCGACAATTCAGGTAATTTCATTTTTTTTCCTTTTTTTTTTTTTTTTTTTTTTTTTTTTTTTTTTTTTTTTTTTTCTGGGATTGAGATTATGTATACAATAAAAAATTGTCTTTGTGTGCATGATACTATTATTTTTGTTTCCATACCAATAAAATGAACAAAAATCGGACTTATCAGAAAATTAGCTCGAGGAAAAAAAAAAAAAAAACCGGAAAAGAAAAATTATTTTTGCAAAACTCACGGGATATTCTTGGCAGTACCGTTGTTTTCATGATATTAATGATTTCTTTTTTTTTTTTAATGTGTCTAATTGATTAAAAGTAAGTGATGCAAGGCTTAATATTTGCTTTGGTTAATGAGAATCGGCAAAGTATGTGGCCATTTTTCCACATCTAGTCAAAGCCAACGGCACCATTATAGTTACCTTGTAACTATCTTTTTGTTCTTAGATAATCGAAAATTAAGGTAATTAACTGATTTTCATGGTTTTCATGTACGAGCAGGAGACGAAGCAAGAACCATTGCATATCAAAGAACTGCAAGTCTTAACATCGCCGGTTGTTCAGCAGAAGTTGTACTCGGAAGAGAAGTGCTTGGTTCCTAAACAATTCGCCGACCAAACCCTAGCAAGCCGTCCAGAGTTTCAATCGACTTTATTCGAACAAAAAGCTTAGCTAGTTTATGCATTGTACTTTTTTTTTTGGTATATTTTTTGTCGTCTGATTTCAATTAGCTAGAGACTAATATATATATATATATATATATATTTTTTTTTTTTTTTTTTTTCTTGTAAGTATCTAATTTCCAAGAAATGTGTACCATTTATGTCTAGTATTCATTTGTTTTAGATGTTAATGCAAATTCTTAGATTAATCCATTTTGGAGATTTTACAACACTTTCTAATTACATTACCAATTGAATAATGTTAGATTTTGATATTGTTCTTGACTATTGAATCGAATTTCAACTAGAAGTAAATGAATTTCTTTTAATGTATTTACATAATTAATTAGGGAGCTGGCTATAATAACACCATGTATCCCTATGCTATAGTGTACTTCACATAAGTTTTGGAGTATTTATTATTAATTTTTTATGAATGGAAAGGATATGAATTATTTAAATCAGCCTAAAAAAACAAAAAGCAAAAAAGAAATTCAACTGTAAAAGATTAGTTCCTTTGATAATTTAATTTTAAATAGAGACAATAGACTCATTTATAGATGAGGGATGTCAATTGATTTGTTTTCTTCATAGTTTGTGGACGGTTCTTTCAAAGTTTCTTATTATTTATTTCTATATGCAAACGGTAATTTAATGAGCTGTGTTTGATAAAATGGCAATGCAGGTAATTATAATTCTACCATTTTATTTGTTTAGATAATAATATATTATGTTAGTAGTGTATCAAAGAGTAAATACAGAAAATAAAAAAGAAATGACACAAAGAATGATATTTATATTTTCCTTCTATATTTTATGAATAGTATTCTATTTGGATAGACACACAGCCCACGGCTTAAATATTTATTGATGCCAATTACAATTCTGGTCACTAAATGAAGATTTTATATTGCCGTCATCATCAATCATTGGTGTGCTTGTTAAGCTTTGATATTTACTAGTTGCCTTCTCTTATTATTATTATTATTTTTTTTTTTTTTTTTGCTTGAAAGTTGCTTTCTTTTATTTAATTTTAAAAAATTATGACCATTTACCTTTTCTCAACATAGGGCCAACAATTACATTCCTTCACAAATTTATGAAATCCAGGGTCAAAAACATATTTGGAAAACCTCTCCAGCTTATCTCCTTTAATTTTGCACCAACCAATTATTTTTTCCTTTTTTTTTTTAACATTTTTCTACATCGCCCCTAAAATTTTTTCATTCATAATATTCATATTAAAAACATTTCAATTATACCTCAAAATTAACTGTTGAGTATCTCAAACTTAAATTGCTTAATAAATGAATAATCGATGACATTATTATGTAGGTCCGCAATTAGTGTACAATAGACCTTGAAAAGTGAATTAATTAAATTCATTTAGAATTGATTCATTTAGATTAAGAAATAAAAAATAATAATAATATATTATTATCTTAGTGTAAAAGTTCAACTAAAAACATTGTCGGTTTCGCCACTAAATACATCTAGATGCATCTTTTTTCCCCTTCCATTGGTTATAGCTACAAATTTATTCAAAAGGCTTTATCTATATCTTGTTCATAATGTATATTAATGAAATACTTATAAAGCTTTATGATATATGTCTCTCAAATTAAACTTCAACATCATAGATTTTTTTTTTTCTTTTCTTTTCCTTCTTTGACAAAAATTAAAAAAGAAAACGGCCTTAAAATAAAACTATAATAGATAATTACAAACGAAAGAAAAAAGTGTACCATTTCGCGTCTATGATCAAATTCGATGCTTTGGTAGTGAAGGTTAATCTTTTTTCTCCATGCATTCTTCAAACCTTTTGCGAAGACAATTTTCATATTCGCTATGTTTTTGTTTTCTTTTGATTTTTCTGCGACCAATTATCTCTCGGCAAGTTTCATAGGCCCACTTGTTGCAGTCAATGATTTTTTTATTTTTTTGCTCCAGTGAAGGTGGTAGCACTGGCTCTCCAGCAGTCAATGAATTTTCCAAACAAGGCCGATTTGTAGACATAACAAGAGTATAATTTGACATATTATCCAAAAAAAAAAAAAAGTATAACGTGACATATTATCAAAAAAAAAAATATAGATATATATATATATAATTTGACATGATAGTCACAACCAATTTTACTACCATGTCATTGTTGTCCATAATTCCTCTTCCTTTCTCTTTTTGTTTGTGTATATTTACTTAATAGAGTTTGGAACAACAGCTTTTATACATCTCAAACCATTTACTATGTACAACTTGCTAAAACAAAATAAAACTATTCGTGGGACAATACATGCTGTAAACTTACGTTGCTTCATCGTAAAAAAAAAAAAAAAAAAAAATAATAATAATAATAATAATATTAATTCACTAGCATGAGTGAAAAAACTAGGGTTCATTGTAGGTATGATAAATCTTTTCTTTTGTTATTTTCAACATCACATTTCACCGATTCGAGTTTAGAATTCTAATTTTGCTACAGTAAAAAGCTCTCAGAAACAGTCACATTTAATTTTTTTTTACTAAAGTAAAAAGCTCTCTCATAAAGTCACATCTCAACTCGAATTAAAAATTCAAATCTGCGAACTAAACGAACCCTACATCTACCTGTGAAAAGATGACAACTCTATTCACGTAAATTGATGTAAAATAATTAAAATTAAAATTAGTATCGCGAATATATATACTTTCTTTCTGCTAAAAAAAAAAGAAATAAAGTTTGTAAGTTGTAACCGCCAAAATATCTCACAACGTGCCAAAAAAAAATATGAAAACACAAGACCCACTTCTTAAGTTGCTATTCCATACCTTCTTTTTTTATTATTATTATTTTTGAAAATTTCTATTCTAATAAACTTTTACAAACCGCCTTATTTGTCTTTTGCCAACCGTTTGAACTCTCAGTGACTTCAATTTCTGAGAGAGCCAGAAAAAAAAAAAACTGCACGCTTTTTGCTTTCTTTCTTCTCCGTGGCTTCCATTTCTGCAAATCTTTTTGTCGTCATAGTTTCAAGCATTTTGTCTACAACACTCTCAGCATCAGTAATAGAAGACCTCAGAAACTTAATCCCACCTCCAGATTTCAACACCACCATTATATTAGTACGCCAGCAAGCTGTCGCCAATTTATATTAGTATAGTATAATCACAAACAATGTTATATAGGATATATATGATCAGATCATAGCTTACTCTAGTCACATTTCAATTCAAAGTATCAACTCCCTGCTCCTTAACTTGTTTACTTCAGAACGAAGTAAAACAAAATAAAGTGACAAATATTCCCAAATGTTTTCTTTAAAAAAGGTCCCCAAATGTTTTTTTTTTTTTTTTTTTTTTTTTTTTTTTTTTTTTTTAAAAAAATTCCCAAAATTTTTTTTTTAAAAAAGGCCCCCAAATTTTTTTTTTTTTTTTTTTTTTTTTTTTTTTTTTTTTGCAAGCGAGGATAAGAAAAACAAAATGCTACCTACCAAATTTTATTTTAGAAACGATGATAGACTAGTCATTTAGAAAATTAGAAAGTAAAAAAAAAAAAAAAAAAAAAAAAAAAAGTCTTAAAATAGTTTTTTTCCCCATGAAAACAAAAGTAGTAGAGATCCTAGTGAAGTTATACTAGTCTTAACTCTCCGCCACATATGTAAAACTTTGCATGTAAATTATTTTGTCTGAAACTAATCAGACAAGCCCATTAATACACGACCAAGCCGACAAGAGCTTATTAGATTTCACTCACTCACACACACAAAAGAAACTAGTACGGTAATTTCAGAGTGGTTTTGATCCTTAGAGTGTGTCCTAGTCCTAGAGATGTGTTCCGTGAATTCATGCATGTGACAAACCGCAGTACCAAATGGTAAGAAACATAGAGCTGCAAACATATCATCATGTGATATATATATATATATATATATATATATACACGTCTCCTTAATACTAATTGGCATCAGCTAGTTACTCCGTACATACAAGTGATGAGGCATAGAAGTTAGCATGCACGGTTTGCATGGTAGAGTAACTAGCTTATGCCAATTAATATTAAGGAGACGTATATATATATATATATATATATATTATATACACATATTTTCTACCGTCTGTATGTATACACGTACGTGCATACTTTTGTTTTGACCACAAAAGAAAAGTACATAAAAACAAATAAAAACAAAAGCATAATAAGAAATTTATAAGGTATAACATATATTATTTATCCGTTTTACATTTAGGGAAAAAATACGAATCCAAAAAGCAAAAAAAAAAATATATATATATATATATACGTATGTCTTTTTCAAAAAAAAAAGATGATATATACATATATATGTATCATATTCTACATAATTTTGGCGATAAACACAAAATATTCGAAAATAAAAATAAAAGTAATATATTCTATATCCCTTTCATATTTAACGAACAAAAATTATATAGCATCACTGAGATGCGATATTTTCGTTATTTAATCTCCGCGGCTGTCACCGGGATCTTCGGACCGATCCCAACCGGCTCTGGATATGACTTGCTTTAAAATTGACCCATTCCCGTTTAAAACTAAAAGATATTTTATTTTTCAATTTTTTTAAAAAAATCTTTTAAGTTACCCTTTTTAAGGGGAAAAAAAAAGAAAAAGAAACAAATAAAGGTAGGAACATTAATAATGCTTTGTCTTCCGAGTTTTTCTTATTTCGGCTGTTGAGGATCCTATAAAACTGCGATTCCAGCGTTTTGGTCGCACCATTAGAACTCTCTGAACTCTCTCCGCTTCTCACTTCTCTCTCTCTCTTCGAAGTCACCACTTTGACTCTTTCTCTCTCTAATCCCTAGAGACAGTTTCTTCTCTTCATTGAAACACTCTCTTGGAAAATTTTAACGAAGGAAAATTGATAATCTCCCAAATATGGCTCTAAGCTTCCTTTCCAACTTATGGAATTCTTCTGCTTCTCCTCAACAAAAACAAAACCCAGATATTGTCGGTTTCCAACAAAGAAAAAAGCCTAGATTTAGCAACTTGTCGTTCTCAAACACATATAGTAATCCTTGTCCACTCATCATCCAAAACGACGACAATAATTCCTTCTTCTCACACCACAATAACGTCTACACTAGTACAAGTACTAATTATTCCCATTTCCTTCCCACATCAAGTAACAATAACAACGCTTTCTTCAACTCTCTCTCGTCACCACAAACCCTATTTCCTCTGGAAGAGCTTGAGTACAATCCCTACCCGTATAGCAGTCGCGTTTCGGATCAATTTTTCGACGGGTTTTCCTCGAGCCCTTATTTGTTTCCGGAGCTTTTGACCGATGAAGATCGAATACTGCTGGCTCCATTGCTTAGGGAGCCTCAGGTTATTTGTGATTTTCCAGTGCAACAAGATAATGATGTCGTGTATGATTGTGGAAATAGTTATGATGATGCTCATCATCAGGAGATCAGTACAACTGAATTGAAGAAGGGTAGCAGTGGTGGTAGCAGTAGTACTGCGGTGTCGCCGCAGAGCGTCGCGGCCCGAGAAAGGAGGAGGAAGATAACGGAGAAGACACAGGAGCTAGGAAAGCTGGTTCCTGGTGGGAATCAGATGAGCACTGCTGAGATGTTTCAAGCTGCTTATAAGTATGTCAAGTTTTTGCAGGCTCAAGTCTCGGTTCTTCAATCCATCGACTCCTTAATTCAGGTAATTTCATCTTTTGTCCTTTTTTATCTTTTGTTTTTGTTGTTTTTTTTTTTCTGGGATTGAGATTATTAAATGGTTCAATGATATATACAATAAAAAATTGTCTTTGTGTGCATGATACTATTATTTTTGTTTCCATACCAATAAAATGAACAAAAATCGGACTTATCAGGAAATTAGCTGGAGGAAAAAAAAAAAAACCGGAAAATTATTTTTGCTAAACTCACGGGATATTCTTGGCAGTACCGTTGTTTTCATGATATTAATGATTTCTTTTTTTTTAATGTGTTTAATTGATTAAAAGTAAGTGATGCAAGGCTTAATATTTGCTTTGGTTAATGAGAATCGGCAAAGTATGTGGCCATTTTTCCACATCTAGTCAAAGCCAACAGCACCATTATAGTTACCTTGGAACTATCTTTTTGTTCTTAGATAATCGAAAATTAAGGTAATTAATTGATTTTCATGGTTTTCATGTACGAGCAGGAGACGAAGCAAGAACCATTGCATATCAAAGAACTGCAAGTCTTAACATCGCCGGTTGTTCAACAGAAGTTGTACTCGGAAGAGAAGTGCTTGGTTCCTAAACAATTCGCCGACCAAACCCTAGCAAGCCGTCCAGAGTTTCGATCGACTTCATTCGAACAAAAAGCTTAGCTAGTTTATGCATTGTCCTTTTTTTTTTGTATATTTTTTGTCGTCTGATTTCAATTAGCTAGAGACTAATATATATTTATTTTTTCTTTCTTGTAAGTATCTAATTTCCAAGAAATGTGTACCATTTATGTCTAGTATTCATTTGTTTTAGATGTTAATGCAAATTCTTAGTTTAATCCATTTTGGAGTTTTAATTGGTTTCACAGACGCCCCAACTAAAAACATTGTTGGTTTCGCCACTAAATACATCTAGATGCATCTTTTTTCCCCTTCCATTGGTTATAGCTACAAATTTATTCAAAAGGCTTTATCTATATCTTATTCATAATGTATATTAATGAAATACTTATAAAGCTTTATGATATATATGTCTCAAATTAAACTTCAACATCATAGATTTTTTTTTCTTTTCTTTTTTTCTATGACAAAAATTAAAAAAGAAAACGGCCTTAAAATAAAACTATAATAGATAATTACAAACAAAAGAAAAAAGTGTACCATTTCGCGTCTATGATCAAATTCGATGCTTTGGTAGTGAAGGTCAATCTTTTTTCTCCATGCATTCTTCAAACTTTTTGCGAAGACAATTTTCATATTCGCTATGTTTTTGTTTTCTTTTGATTTTTCTGCGACCAATTATCTCTCGGCAAGTTTCATAGGCCCACTTGTTGCAGTCAATGATTTTTTATTTTTTTGCTCCAGTGAAGGTGGTAGCACTGGCTCTCCAGCAGTCAATGAATTTTCCAAACAAGACCGATTTGCAGACATAACAAGAGTATAATTTGACATATTATAAAAAAAAGGTATAATTTGACATATTATCAAGTATATTATATATATATATATATAATTTGACATGATAGTCACAACCAATTTTACTACCATATCACTGTTGTCCATAATTCCTCTTCCTTTCTCTTTTTGTTTGTGTATATTTACTTAATAGAGTTTGGAACAACAGCTTTTATACATCTCAAACCATTTACTATGTACAACTTGCTAAAACAATATAAAATTATTCGTGGGACAATATTACTCTTTTTAATTAATAAAAGTTAAATTGATATGTAAACGTTATTATATATAGATATATATATATAGGATAATTATTTTTTCCATTTTTGAATTAAATGGATCCCAACTGTCATTTCTTGATTTGCCGATCTTTGTCGGCAGCATGGCCTTTTGTTTTCCAATTTTTTAGCTAATGAAGACCCTTTTCAAAAATAATAATAGTAATAATTATAAGTATTACTGGATTAATTATGTGAACATTATATACGATATTAATGAGAGTTATGATTCGGAATACAATATTTTAAAAAATAACTCAAGTACTTTTGTTAACTCATGGCTTTTTGGTCTTCTACCTTTTTATTTTGTTTTATTTTATTCTTTTTGAGGTTCAAATTATGTTCATTCAATAAATTAAGAGACTGCTTTATCACCATCACCAAGTCATATAATTGTTAGCTATTCTATGGACTACATAGTACTCTATCATTGCATGCATGTTCAGATCTGCACGGAAAGGAACATGCTGCAAACTTAAGTTGCTTCTTCAGTAACAAAAAAAAAAAAAAAAAAAAAAAAAAATCATTGGGGGGGGGAAAAAAACAGGGGTTTTTTGGGGTTTTTTTTTTTTTTTTTTAAAAAAAAAAAAAAAAAAAAAAAAAAAAAAAAATCACTAGCGTGAGTGAAAAAACTAGGGTTCATTGTAGGTTTGATAAATCTTTCCTTTTGTTATTTTCTAACATAATTTATCCTTACTTACTTTTTGAATAGAAAAAGATATTATTTATTGGTTTCTTTCTGCCATGAATTGTATTTATTTTCTTAAAATTTAATACTAGAGATATTATCTCTAATCTCAATTTTTTTTACCAATTTAGGTGGCATGTTAGTTGTAATCCTTTTATTAATAAATATTTAAAAAATTGTTACATTAATTAATAATAAATGACTACATCTACCTGTGAAAAGATGACAACTCTATTCACGTAAATTGATATAAAATAATTAGAATTAAAATTAATATCCCGAATATATATACTTTATTTCTGCTTTAAAAAAAAGAAATAAAGTTTGTAAGTTGTAACCGCCAAAATATCTCACAACGTGCAACAACAACAAAAAAAATGAAAACACAAGACCCACTTCTTAAGTTGCTATTCGGTCCCTTCTTTTTTATTATTATTATTTTTGAAAATTTCTATTCTAATAAACCTTTACAAACCGCCTTATTTGTCTTTTGCCAACCGTTTGAACTCTCAGTGACTTCAATTTCTGAGACAGCCAGAAAAAAAAAAAACTGCACGCTTTTTGCTTTCTTTCTTCTCCATGGCTTCCATTTCTGCAAATCTTTTTGTCGTCATAGTTTCAACCATTTTGTCTACAACACTCTCAGCATCAGTAATAGAAGACCTCAAAAACTTAATCCCACCTCCAGATTTCAACACCACCATTATGACAAACTGTCTCAATAACCCGACTCTTAGATACTGCAATTCATCTCCCATGGATCTTCATGAAATCTTCAAGTTCACCATTGTGGGAAGCCATTTATGCAATGAGTCGAAGAACCCCAACTGTGTCGAGTCGTTTCCGAAAATAGACCTCAGAAACCGTCCTATAATTGCCCCACTTTACTTGTCTTTCAGCTTCTTTTGGAAGTACTGCCCTCTAAGTGTCCTCTCCATTGATCTTTCTAACAATTCTCTCAAAGGTAGTTTCCCAACTGATCTCCTCCAATGTACTCAGATTCGAGCCCTTGATTTGAGCCACAATGAACTCTCTGGGGAGTTCCCAATAGAGAGCTTTTCTCCATTAACCAACCTCACAGTTCTTAATCTCTCATATAACCATTTTCTGGAGAGTGATCAAGTCTCCGAAACCTGGTTCTTTAAGCGGTTCACTTCTACGAGTTTTCTTCATTCGGGTCTACTCCTAGATCACAAAGAGTTCAGGGTTAAACTTGTGTCCTTGCTTGTGGGGTTTCCAATCTTTGTAATTCTGATGGTGGGGTGCTTAGGTTGGATTTGTCTCCACAGGCCTGATTTCCTGCCAAGAATGCTTCAAAGTAAGCACAAGTTTACTCCATCAATGCTCAAGGCAGCAACCAATGGGTTCTCCAAGAAGAATTTGGTGGGGAAGAGTGAGGCAGTGGATATCTACAGAGGAACTTTAAGAGATGGCACCAAAGTCGGTGTTGAGATCTACTTGGACAACATTACGAAGGAAAACCGCAGAAAACTCGTCCAAGAATGCAAGGTTTTGGTCCAATTATGCCACAAGAACACTGTTCGAGTACTGGGTTGGTGCGATAAACGTCGGTTCGGGGCCATTGTTACTGAATGGGTGGAGGGGCAAAGCGTTGAGGCGTGGTTGTTGGGGGCCAATCCTCCATGGAAGCATAGGTTGAGACTTATGATAGGAGTTGTGGAAGGCATGTGTTATCTGCAGGAGAGATGGCCTGATGTTGGGTATGATCTCAGAACAAGTAGTGTATTGTTGTCTAACAATCAAGAGCCACTGATTTCAAGGTTTAAGATCGAAGATGATCACATCAACAACAGCACAAAAAGTAAGTAGAAGAAAATTTCAAAGATAACCGAAGTAGAGATGCATAACCTTTATTCTGAATGGTGAATCGATCACTTGGCATTTCTTGATTATACAAGGGCAAATTGCACCCATGCAACTTTTAATTTTAGTATCTAGGTCTCTTTTTTTTTTTCTTTTTTTTTTAGTAGGGATTTAGGATCTTAAATTGGCAATACTTGGTAATATTGTAAAAGTTAGGGTCCAACATGCCAACCAACAAAAAATTTGGGGGTGCATTTATTAACGAATCTAGGGTATTTCCATCCATCAGCTATTGGACCACAACTGTAACAGAATTTTAAATTTAGGGTCTCATTTTCTATCATTGAAAATTCACAGTTGAAGTTGCCAAAAACCGATAAGTTTATACAATTCTATCTCAGCTTTTGCTAGCTTTGCAGCTATATTTGATTTGCTTAAATTTCTGTAACTGCATCTCTAATACTTCATCTTATTCTCTAGAGATTTACAAGCTTGGAGTCTTCCTGCTGGAAATAATAGCAAACAGGAGACCACATGAAGAATTTGAAGGTGGGGAAGCTGGTTTCATTGAGTATGTAAGAATGCATTATCCCGCCAATCTGCAGAAGGCTATCGATGAGAAGATGAAATTAACAGAGAGCGGTTTTGAGCAAGTGAAACAGGTAATGAAACTAGGGATAATGTGCACAGATCGAACAAGCAATCGACAACCGAGTTTGAGGGAAGTCTTCAACATTTTAAGTAGAGCCTACAAGTCTTTCTCTGTTTTCACTTCTCCAAATCATAAAAGGTCACATGGAGATAGAGGCAAAGGAAACAAGCAGATTCAATCAAACCTTTCATTTTTCAGAAAACTAGACGTCCAAGAATCTTATTGTTGAAATTCAATGTAGTTCCTAGAGTTGACCCTCATATAACCTTTCATTTTATGAAACTATTATGAATTTAAAAATGAAGAGCAATGTTCATTTTACAGACAGATTATTCCATCTGTTGCCGATCCCTGTTAAATTGTCAACAAGCAGAAGACCATTGTCATTGTCTACTTGATGTGTATTGAGTAAGATTGTATAGCTATAGAAAATGTAAAGAACATCAAGGGAACACGAAAGTCAGAGTGGCAAACTTGTAACTAGATTTGAAAGCAATATAATAAAGTACCAATAAAGGGAAAGAAATTCACATAGAGTAGTTTAGATACATAATCTGCAGATTTTTTGTAGGGAA